ATCCCAAACCTTGAACCACAAATTTTCGGTTGTTTTGTATTCATTCACTTACATGATCACCAACGAAACAAATTGGATCTCCAAACAGAAATTTGTGTTTTCATTGGCTATGTCCCTCATCAGAAAGGCTACCGATGTTATCACCCTCTAAGTCAGAAGGTATATACCTCCCTGAAAAATAAGAACAATTAAAGTGAAAAATAAATGTAGCTTTGAGAATAAATAAAAAAGAAAGTTTGTTGTTGAGCCACATTAGTAGGTAAAGAGAAAAGCATTATCCATTACTTTAGGGAAAAAACTTTGCTCTTTAAAATCGAGAAGGAGCTCCTTCTTAGGAAATCCTCCTTAATTTTAAGGAGCCAAGCTTTGCTCTTAATTTAATTTAGTTTTTTTAGGGATTGGTGAGTCGGTGACAGGACCCGACCCAAATTCCACTTTGGAATCTACGCTGATGAGCCCAAAATTAATACAAGTTTTATCCTTAAATTTATATTTGTTAGTATTTTCTTTTGTTTTATATAAATCTATTAAAGTATTTTTCTTGTTTCTTTCCAATCTTTGTTTTTATATTTAATGAGTGGTTGTTTGTAGATATTAAGTGTCTTCCACCAATAGCATGTTGAGGAAAAGAAGTAAGTAATGTGTTGCAAGAAGAAAGTAAAGGATGAGAAGAAATATGTGCAGCCAAAGCCAAGGAAATTTGCTCGAGACAACTTGTGCAGCAGCAAATGCAATTGAAGATAAAACAAATGAAAAGAAGAAGCAATCAATTGCATGAATATACTCTAGGACATGCATGCAAAGCTTCCATCATTGGAGAAATAAAGAAAGAATGAATAAACAATGAAGGAGAAGTTCAAATTGACTACTTGCAACCAATGAATGCAAAGAAGAATGATGATGCTTGAGTTGTTATCTAGCTACAATTTGAGGAAAGTTGCTGCAGTTTTTATGAGAAGATACGATAGATGAGCAAGTGGAGCAATTGATAAGAAGACTCAAAGATCTTTGTGAAAACCAAAGTCAAGGAACTAGGCCAAGATTAAGGAATATATTTGAAAATGATGGGTACTTATTTGAAATGATAAAAGCTTGGAGTAAAGAAGCAAGTGGAGAGTGGTGTGGAGAAATTCAAGAGTGATACCCGACAATGAGAAGAAGGAAAGTATGGAAATGCATGACAAAGTGTTCAAGTGGAAGAAAGTTTTGAAGAATTTAGATAAGGAGTCATCATCACAATGAATTAATTAAAGGAAGCAACTTGGCAATTGGTTTGATGGCAAGTGGAAGACATATTAAATTCATGAATATTGCTCCCATCCTCCTATAAATAGGTGGAGCTACGGCATTGTAAAACTACACCAAGCTCCACAATCTTGAGCTTTTTCTCTCTTCCCTCCATCTTTCTAAGTTTTAATTTCTGTTTTTTTTAGTTTTATTTTATGGGGAACTAACTCCCTAGCTAAGGCTAGGGGGAAAGCTTTTAATATAAGTGTGTAATTTTTATTAGTTTGATCCAAACTTAAGCTTTAATGTGAATTTGTAGTTTTTGTTCAAATGGAATTTGTAGTTTTCTTTTTAATTAATTGATGAATGTTTGATAATCTATTTCATGGGTTCAATCATGTTTTTCCCATTGTGTAGTAAAAACTTTCATGCTTTTAAAAGAGAAGAGAATTACTAAAGATTAATAGAATTTCGATGAAGTTTATTTTTTTGATAGTTTGTTGCCAATGGTACAAGTTATGCTTAGAATACTTCTAAAGGAAATTAAAAAGAGCTTTAATTATTTTGAACAACTACAAAGGAAAATATTTTGTGGATCAAATTATTAAGAGTTGCATGCTTATGTTAAAAGTGGAAACCCAATGCCTTAGTGTTTTAATCAATTAAATTTTCTTTAAATCAAATCTTGCATAAATCAACCTCTCAATCACACTTGTTCTTTTTCATCTCTGTTATTTTCTTTACACTGCTCTCTGTGGATACGACACTCGGACTTCCGAGCTACACTACTATACGACACCTCCCTTGGGTTTTGCAAAGTGAAGCGAACAGGTACAATCAGTGCTATTGGAAATGGGGCCTCTTTGCCTCTAATGACCATCATCTTTGGAGATGTGATTAATTCCTTTGGAGAAATTGGGAATAATAAAGACGGCAATGGTTGTAGGTTGAATATGGTGAGTAAGGTGTATTTATAATTATTAAAATATTACATTTGTTTCACAATCCTTTTTGGTCATTTTATATTAGGATAAATTTGTAATTCAATAAATAATTTGATAGTAGGATGTAATCAGTTAATTTTGAGTTCGTTTAACAACACTCATTTAAAAATCACATAAACCGAATCTATATTAATTTATAATTTTAGATATCTGAAACTAGACGTATGATGAACGGATCTGATGAATCCTGCGATATGTAATTGTCACTTGCTGAGCGAAACGGCGTCGCTTGTGAAATATATTTGAAAGTTGCCTGCTTTATAGTCTGTCACAAGACAAAAACCAGTAAATCAATGACGAGTGAAGCGACGTCGTTGTCAGGGTAATAACAAGCTGGGAAAAATCCGCCAAAGCAGAGGAGGATTCTCATACGCCAGTTAACAATTAGCAGCCAGAAATATTCTCGAAATTTAGAATCAAATGGAATCTCTCCATCTCCATATAATAATTGGTGGCCTCAGAGTCCCTCAAATATTCAATAACATCCCCAAAAATCCTTATTTGGATATCATTTCTTTCTGTCAAGACCATGTTTGGTTCCCGGGAAAATTGAGGAGCAGAACAGATAAAGCAGCAAGCTTTCTTTCCCAGGTTTCATATTTCACTTCAATCAATCAATTTTCATTACATATGTGCTTGTTTGTGATTAGAAAACTATTGGGTGTTGCTTAATTTTGATTTTGGTTTTTGGGTTTTCTTAAAGGTTATTGCTTTGTCATGGTCCAAGTACTGCAACCATGCTGATGGTGTATGCTGTAGGAGCTATTACATGCTTAGACTCAAATATACAACTGCATGAGGCATTGCCCTGCAAGACTACCCATGTGAATTTCTTGAACAAAATTTCAATTTGTCTTAGCTCAACTGGAGCTCCTTGTAATTCTATACTCTCTGCCTCCTGCTTTTCTTGGAGAAACCGTGTTCAGCTAAACAGCCCCAAGAAATGGCTTGTAAGTGTTTGTGCTAGTTTCTCTCTTTTCTCAAAGAATTTTTTTTTTCTTTTGGGATTTATTGGAGTGTTTTATGTGTTTTACTATGACCCATTACAGTGCAGGATGCATGATTCGAGTTCATCAGATGATGAGTATCGATCCTCACGCAACATAGCAATCAGTTTGTTTAGGCGGTACAGGAATGTGGTTGACCGTGGAGGAGGTGCCAACCTAAAAGTACTTTCAGTGTTTTTCATGAACTGCATATTTGTGAGGTTTGCTTTGTATACTTTCTTTTCCGATTACCGTGTTTGTTTTTGGTTGATCAGGAGTTCATCAGTGCTGGGGTGAATGCATATGCGCTGGGCTGCACAGATGAGGGGTTAAGGAAAGAACTTGTTGATATGAAAGAATCTGGTGTTGAAATTGAAGGAATACAAAGCTATGGTGGAACCACCAGTTTGAAATCCAAGATTGCATCAGAAGAGGTAAGTCACTCCTTCCTCCTTGAACTCGAATTAAAATGGAACCTTGTTTAGCATATATTCATAAGTTATCTGATTGTCTTAAGATTGTAAAAATTAATTCTGTAGCCATTCTCCTTAGAAACAAAGAGGTTAATCTGTTCATATTTGAGATCTATTTACTAGTCATCGTCTAGTGCCGGAAATTTGAGAGGCTGGCAATGCGTGTTAAGGCTTCTGTTGGTCATACATTCTACTGTGTGTGAGGTGACTAGTTAACTAAGTGGAATTCCATTCTCCCTTTTTGTTTTCACAATGCAGGTTGAGGAGTGCATTCTGTGGTTGAGCATTATATTCATCACCATCCTGTGTACACCACAGCCTACAATAGTTAGGTGGTCATCCACACCTCCAGTGTCAGATGAAGAAAGGCTTAAGTGGAAAGGTTTTTGTGCACTCATAGCAAATGCGTATTACGTGAGAGGAATGGCATGGTAAGATGCTTTCAGCATAGTCAATTCCTACTTTGAGTTATATATTGTTATTCGTATTAAACATGGATGCATTGATGTGTCCAAATCCTTGCTTGAAATTCATGTAATTTCTTATGCAAGCTCACCAATGCATATGTTCCTCAAGCACTTCATGCTAAGACAGCAAATTATCAACTTCCATTTGGCCTTTTCAATAAGACTATCAAGCATTTTTAACTACTGTTTTCTCACAATATAAGTAGTTTCTGAAGGTTCGCCTTTTTGCATAAATTTTTTGTTGAAGGCTTCCGGTAAAGACTCTTCAACTAGAGCAAATGGCAGTGGTTGGACATGCTGAGGAACCTTCAGTTGTTGCAAGTCGAATGCGATTAGTTTTTAGCACACTTGAGGTTAGATAACTAGAGTACATTTTCCAAGTAACTAAATGAGAAGGTTATGTGTTAATGAATTATTTGCATGTGCAGGTTGTGAGTCCACAGTGGCCTAGAGTATAGTGCTTCAATTTCAAGAACAGATGTCATGCTGGCCTTACTATTAAATTTTCAGTATGTAAATCAATGTAGCCTAAACATTCTTCTATTTAGAAAGGAAATGGGGGGAAATACTATAGTGAAGAATGTCACTGTTTTTGTTCAGGTTATTTATCACATGCTCTTCCAAGGGTTAGAAAAATTTGTTTAGCTGCTATTCCATTGCTGTTTTTCTTAAATAATCAATGCAAACATCTAGGGAAGATTGGTCACAGCAACTTACAAAGCGAGTCATCTACATCATCATTTCTACCCCCTTCTCTCTCCTCTATGTGGGTATTGACTGGAACATCTATGGGTTGATTGACTTGCACCACAAGTTTCCACATTCATGCTGTATAAAACATAATTTACTGTAAAATAATGAGATCATCTTCTACCGAAAGAGCCATGTTCCCAAGTTCTGCAGCTCTGCAATTCTATATCTAACGACAGCAGCATCATTAACATGACAATTCAAAAATCTCTCAGCACCTATAACATATATACTAGCCTGATTCTTATATCTACTCAAAAGTATCATCCACGGGGATGGATGAACTCCAAATTGCATGCATCATTTTCCACATCAACCTACAAAAGGTAGACAACAAAAATAGATGAGAAAAGTTGAAAACCTTAGACCCTCTTCTTGAATACATTTGCTTTGAGAGTTTAGCTTCATTGAAGACGTAGTTGGGTCCCTTTTCCACTTGTTCCAAGACAAAAGACAATTTTTGAAAAGAAAAATATTACCCAATTGACCTACAAAATTCATTTTAATATTGATCACAACATCATCCTCTACCTTACTAAGCCCATCTCTTCTGTGGAGTTGCTGGAGTAGCATCCTTTCGTCCAGGGAGAGAACGCCTTTTAATTATCTTTCTCGAATCTGCACCAGCTGATAATTGCCTTGGCCTTGAAGAATGAATTGTACTGGAATTTTTTATAGGACTCATTGGCTGAGATTTTGGACTCGCTGGTTGAGATTTTGGACTCATTGGCTGAGAGTTTTTGCTTACTGAGTGTACTGGCCTTGGACTCATTGGCTGTGGTTTTTTGCTTACTGAGTGTACTGGCCTTGAATTCATAGTTATCTCTTTTAGAGGATTCAATGACTGATATTTTATGTGACTGGCAGTTGGTTTCACCATAGAAATTGAGGCTTTTTCCGGCACTAGTTTTTGGCTTGTTGAAACAGAGTCATGAACCTGAGGAACCTCTGGATATGCAGAACTAGGAGGAGCTTTTGTTCGATTCACAGGAGAGCAGTCTGAATCAGAGGATGAAGGGCTAGTAGTACTATCCATATCATAAAGGAGGTTGTCTGTCATGTGCGGAATTTGTATATCATGTGAGTTTGAGGAAGAGAAAGAGGGTCTCTGAAGCCTTGTAAGGTGTACTACCTGTATTTAGATATTTAGACATAATTAATTCAAAAGGCAAAACACCTTTTCCCTAAATTCTGAAACACCATGTCTCACCCAGCAGCTCCTTACCTTTTGTTCTAGAACCACCATGTCCCTCTTTAGTCTTGTAATCGTTGAGTTCTTCCTACGAATTATGTCTTCCAACTCTGCAATCCTCTGTCATGAGTGATAAGGATAACCCAGATCAATCAAAGAAAAAATTTGGAAAGGAAAGAAGGAAACGAGAACAAAACAGGGAGGTTACCCTTGAACCAGCATTTTCAGATGACTGGAGTAAAGTGGTTAGGTCCTGTATAGTCCCATCTTTCTCTTCACAATCCTTCTTGAGATTGTATATGTCTTGTTCAATGGCTAAGGTGTTTAGCTGTGGAAATTACAACAAATTACATCAAGCACATGAAAAGTGATACCTTAGAAAATAGAAATTGTTTGATAATTTAGGCAACATATAATTCCATTGGGTAGTGACAATTTTCAAATAGCATTGAAAGAATGGCAACAAAAGGAAAGTGAGTTAAAAACTGCCATTGAAACATGGATCTAGCAGTTCAACATTTGCTTGGGACGAAAATCAGTTAAGAGCTTCGAAACTCTTTTTCTACCCAGAAATTTTTATGAGAAACAAGTGTTTAAACGAGAAACTTATGGAATATTTGGTTACCTTTGTTGCAAAAACTATGCTTTGCTTAACTATAAGAATATTATAAACTTTATATCAGCATGGCTATATCTTTATATCAGTTCCTTGACAAAGGTCCAATGAATTTGAAATGATAAATGTACATAGGAACCTTCCATTACCTGGATGTCTGCAGCAGAAGTGACACTTGATGCCAGGTCTGATAAATCAGACATACGGCGCTCCTCTTGCTCTTGTACAATTGGGAGAGACATTTTATATTGCAGTATCTCATCCCCATTGGAGGCTTTCATAACATTGTTACCCATCTGACAAAAAAAAAACATTGTTACCCTCATACCAAATTAAGAGATGAGCAAGATTCAAGATTTCAGCCTTACCATCACAAACTGTGATTTCCTAGTTTACATTACAAAATAACACTAAAGAACCTATTTAGCTGACATAGAACAAATTCTTACCCCCAACCCATTTTGAAGGTCACGATGTTGATCACAAAGCCAACAACCACAATCAACAAATTTGATTTTATGAGAACCAAACGATTCATTGCGTTGCAATTCTGCGTTTTCGAGGGTGGAAGGGTCCACGGTTGCTGAGTGGTCCTTAATGTTATTCATCTGCTCGCACAGGCTGTCAAGCTTCTGCTGCATGCTTGATAATAGCTGATCCTGGTAACAGAATACAAATAATCACTCATAGATTCAGGAAACAATGTTTCATCAATTGAAGTTGCTCAGCATTTAACAAAATATCCTAAGGAGATTCAATTGACTAGAAAGATTGATGTTTTACTCAAGGAATATCAAATCTGAAACAATACAACAAAAACCAAAAGCAGTATCAGTAAAAATAATCATATGTCAATTTAGAAGTAGACTGTAGGCCTCTATTAAATTTAGAAATTTAAAATTATAAATGTTAAAAAAACCAAGCTTTTACAAGATCCAAAGGGAATTTAGACAAACACATAAAAAAATCTTGAATAAAATCAGAATGGAATTGATATTGAAAAAAAAACGTCCAATGACAACTCCATAACAAGAAACGTTAAGATAAGTATAAAGAATTACGCAAGAAATCATCAAAGTACCAACATTTATTACTGAGAAAATCTAAAGATTCATTTTTGAAACAAACCCAATTCAACAATTAAAGAGAAAATTCAATCAACCTAATTAATTAAAGCTCAATTATCACAAACCCTAAGTTCCACAGATTTCGTTAGCTGCGTAATGTGGCGGTTTTTCTTCGACTCTGCAGCGGCGACACTTATCACGGCAACAAAGAGGAACCTCTGGATGGGGCTAAACAGCTCCCAAGCCACGGCTTGCTCGGGGTTCAAGCCACCTTTAATGGCTCGAGCCGAGCTGGCCTCGTCGGCATTGACAAGCAGACCATCGAGGGAGACCCATGCCAGCTTCCGACGAGCAGGCACGGGTCGACTCGTCTCATTGAAGCTGCTGGAGAGGCGGCGCGTAGAAGAGGGTGCCGGTATTGGGGTTAAGGAGACTCTAGCCGAGCCGAAGCCGAAGCCGAGGTCTTGATGGGCTACTTCCATGGCATGAGTGGCGGAGAGGAGAGAGAGAGAGAGAGAGAGTGATTGAAGCGACCAGGTTTTGAATGCCAAAGTCTGGTTTTTGTTTTTTTTTCGGTGATCTTTTTTTTGTTGGGTTGCGAAGTTTTTAATTCAAATGTTTTTAAAATCGAGAGGGAAACCGCAATAACCGTTTGGCCAACGTCCCTTAAGACCTTGGAATTTTTCTCTTTTCCTTTTTTTGAGTTGCGACTTTTCTGATTTCAATTTGTTTTTCTTGTTTCCAACAACAACAAAAATTGTTTTTCTTGTTTTAATCTCATTTTTCTTTTTGTAAAAAAAACAAAAGTTTCTCTAACGTTACACAAAAATGGATCCGATATATATATACACACACAAATTGATGTTCTAATAGTTATGTTATACTCTTTAATTATTTACTTGATAATTGAATATTGATACTAATGTACACTTTAAAAACTAAAAAAATTAAAAATTTATAGTGAAAATGCATTGTATTTGGGTGGGGGATAATGCAAATAGATTGTTAAAATGAAATTGTTTTCTCAATAAAACCGATGGCTAGACTCTATCAATTAGTGCTTTAACTTGGTAAGTTCGTAATGGTTTTGACCGTGATTTATATATAAAAATATGCCCCAAGTGATGTGTAAGAGATGAGAAAAGGTTGCAAAATGAGTGACACTTGACTGTGGTGTACGTATAAGAACATGTCCCAAGTGATACGAACCAAATGAGAAAAAGTTGCAAAATCAGTGACACCTAAATCAATTTTTGGAAAAGAGAGGAAAAATCTCATACAAATGGAGAATATTAAAGATTTCATTATATGAATCCCTCATATTTGGAATGGAACTTATGTATGGATTTCCCACTTCGCTTGTATTTCTATTTTCATTTTGTATTAATCGTTCATGAAAAATAAAATTGAATGCTATGAAACAAAATTACTAATAAGGGGTAACTTTCATTGTAAAAAAATTTAATTACAAACTAATCTAATCAGCTAACAACTCTCTTTATAAACTAATTTATTTGAAACATATTCGGTCTAAAAGGGTGGGCCATAATCAATTGACCTAACTCACTTCAGCGGAAAACAAAAATATCTAATTGTGAATAAAAAAGAAATTTAATTAGCTTTTTTTTTTTAATATTCAATGGGTGCAAAACTTCAAATAGCCAAACCATGTAACATTTTCTTTGATACAATTGACTTGTAGAGGCCCAAAATCCCCAAATTCTCCAAATTGGCCAAGCCCAAACGATTTAGTATACGTTGGCAAAGCCTCAAGTCAACTAAGCTCAGGAGAGAGGGTGGTTTTTCATTCAAGTTTTTCATTCAATTTCTGAATACTTGTGTTTTGATTTGGATTTAAACTCTGGTTTTTCAAAGGTAATTAGCATTCTACCTTGTACAAGGAAATTAATTGTTTTGCTGTTTTATCAAACCAAAATGCCATTTTCAGTATTTTGACTGCTTAGAGCATCTCCAACCGATATGTCAAAAGTGCCACATAGACATTTAACAGCTAGAAATAACATCTCACACACTCCAACCAATGTGTCAAAGCTGATGTGGAATGAAGGCTGAAGATTGAGATGTTATTTTTGACATCCCAAAAGCAAGATGTCAAATGAATATTTTATTATTTTTTAAAGACAGCTGGTTGTTATTTTCATTTATTATTTTCCTTTATTATTTTTTTATTCTTTATCTTAAATGATTTGACAGTTACATTAATTATTTATTTGACATATCAGGTGGAGTGTAAAACTGTGTAAATGTCAAATTGCCACATCAACCATCAAATTTAAATTTGATGTTTGGTATTTGACATATCCCTTGGAGATGCTCTTAGAGAGGCTGTAGATTCATCATGCAGCTAGAAAGAAAAAGGTCCCCCTTCAAAAAAATTAGGTAACTTCATGATTCTCTCTCTCTCTCATGGTGCCTCTAACTACCAAATGCCAAAAAATAGGAGAGAAAATAGGGGCATCCTGCCTTCCACAAGGAATAAAACAACTAGAAAGCAATCTTTCTTTCATGTGTAAGGAAAGGCATTTTGGGAGGGGCATGACATCAGTTATGACATGGCAATCACTTACATGGATTTGGGCCAAATTCAGATGGTGACTCATCCGTTAATCTAGCTATAGCCACCTATCCACTCTTCAGCAATCCTTCTTCACCAAGGCATCTCATTTTATCAACTGTTTTTTCTTATCTCTTTGCTTCAAACTTAAAAGTTCCCACTTCATGCTTATGAAAGCAAAGTTGAAAAAAACAAAAAAAAGGGAAAAGAAAAGCTTGAAAACCAACTAATGTTTGAGTCTTCTTTTGACACAATTCAGAACATTTCTGGTGTAAACTCCTAAGCCAGTACAGCTTTACATGGAGATTTCAAGAAGGCCAAAACCAAAAAGGCAATACCCTATTTTTCATTAGCAAACCAACCCCACAAAACCATAAACACTTTTATATGAAGAAACTAGAAATGGTCCCCTTGCTGCATAGAACAAGACAAGGTCAATAATTGGGGTGCCAATGTCATGTTACGAGAGCTGCTACAACGAAGGTTATGGGTGAGGGGCTTAAGTGAGAGGTCCAATACAATATGTGTAAGTTGAAAATGTTGAAATTTAATAGTTGGATTGAACCCCTCACTTAAGTCCCCACACACGCCCCCTCGTTATAGCCCAGTCATGTTACTGCCATATAAATCTGCAATTCTTTTGAGGTTCATCTGGGCCTCCACAGGCATTGTTCCTAGAGGCTTATGAACCATTCAAGTTCTTATCAACAAACAAAATGAAGACTTGCAAATGATTACAAATGAGAAAAAGTTGGTAAGACAGAAATGAGGCAAATAGAGCCTACAATATTAAATACAAATTGGGTAAAAAGAACAAATAATATCCTGGACTGAATGGACTTTGATACCTAAAAATATTAAAGCAAAGAAAAGGCTCATTTATTTATTTTTATTTTTTTTGCGAACAAAGTAGATTCATTGATATGAAGACAGATACAAGATTACACAAAAAGAACACTACTCCCAAAGGAGGGTTCTTGCAGACAAGAAAGTAGAAATAAAAACAATAAAAACAACCAATGCAAGAACAATAAGCAAAATCCATATGTAATTAAACCCCAACTCACAAAGAGTTGAAGATAACAGAATCCATAAGAACCTTTTGTGTTATTACTGCTGCTTGCTTGAGCAGGTACACTTAGCACGATTGTCTGAGAATGTCTGGAAAAAATTAACAGAGAAAAGGATAGATTAATGAAATAATAAATTAAAAATCCAAGTACACATTTAAATAGTCTTTGTGAATTTTCATTCATGATTTTATTTTTCTCAAAATACCTGGACTTGGGTTTGAAGGTCTTTAATGTACTCAACAGCCAAATCTAACATGTCTGCAGTGTTTGTTTGCTGCAAAGTAAAGACATGAGATACTTGAGTCTGATGTCCTCACCAACCAGTTCATAAATAGAAAAGCAAGTGAAAATTTTACCTTGTCCATGTTAGGTACAAGCTCTTGTAGTTTCCTCATCCGTTCACTGATTCGAGTTCTTCTTACCTGACAGGACGAAAATAGTCATCTTAAGCATTTTAATTATCATACATGTGCCTATCAAGCTTTTCATTAAACACTCTTAAAGCAATAAGATGAGTGTACAATGTGTGATATTGAGGGTACTAAAATATTACCCTCTCAGCAATGCTTCTTGGGTGTGTGGCACAACCCCGCTTTGCTCGAATCTTACAAGGCACAGAATCTTGGAACTGCATAAACTTTTCAATGGCAGCCATCTCTGCTGATGTTTTTGGCAAGCTCAAATGATGAGCCAGAAGTGTAGGAGGGCGATTTCCAGCCTCCACATCCTGCATGACAACAACAAATTATATCAGACATCAAATTATACACAACCAAGCACATTTGAAAGTTAATATGGTACCTGAGTTTCTGATGGGCTTAAACCAGTAAATGCTTTGATATCATCTTCCCTAAAGCTTGCTGAGCGTGTAATATCATCAGACATCATTGCAGAGTCATCCCACGAATCAATTGGGAAACCAGTGACATAATTGTTACCCGAGCCATCACCAAAACCTCTAGAATCTTGATTATCTGATCGCATTCTTTTGTTCCCAATTTCAGCAATTGGACTCATTAGCCCTGATGTAGATGGTGGCCCAGAAGAGAAATTTTTCAACCTGCTTGTCGAAGAAAAAGATGCTTCTTCATTAGTGCTATTACTGGCTCCGTAGTTTCCCATGCCTCTCAATGCAGCATAGCCTGCCACTGCCAAATGCTAAGCATCAGCATCATTCTCAAATTGATACCATCTTTTCTTCTTTTAATAAACTATGACTAAAAACAAACAATGCCAAGAACCATTATGTTTATTGATTCTTTCCAAAAAATTTGCATAGATTAAAGTTCTTAAGCTATTATATATGAAAATGAACTGCAGACTGGCTGTATATTTTTTTTATCTTTAAGCCACTCTATATCCAACTGATTTATCAGAATGATATACAAAGTTCATTACTTTGCTATACAAAATTAATTAATTCAAATTACAGAAAGCCAATTTTATTCTGCATATGGTGAAAACATTAAGCATGCTAAACGGAAAGGAAAGAAATCTGCCTCAAAATAATTGAAGTCACTTGAGTTAGTACTTTTTCCATCTGAGATTCATCTATACTACAAAGGACCAAATAGACAACAAGGAAATCTGCAATAGAAGACTAAAATAGAACATACCATCAATATTCATATGGGAGAATAGTCCAGCAGGCGAGCTACTATGCCGAATAAGATTCGAATTAGTGACACCACCAGTTTTCACTGAAGGCAACTGACTTGTCCCCATTGAATAAGCTCCTTCATTAGCTGAATTCAAACTCTGATTTGGCAAAGGTGGTTTTGAAGATGGACTTTGGTAAAAGCCCTGAGAAACAGAAGAATAGTTGTTCAAATGGCTCTGCTGCTGCTGCTGTTGCTGTTGAATCACTCCTGCTTCATTATCCACCTTAGGCACCATAAACTGTGTTTGCTGGTTATTGGTCTGTGTTGTCACTTTGTGATGTGATGCAGTTTCTTCTGTTCCTCCTCCTCCCCCACCACCATTACCACCAACTTCACCAGTCAAAAACCGGGCGAAAATTCGTTCACTTTCAGGGCTAGAAGGCCGATTGAACAATGGTTCACAAAAATCTGAGTCCAAAATATTTGCGAAATATGAGCTGGGAGCTGATCGGTACCGCATCAAGCTAGAGTTCATATGCTGCTGGGGTTTATGATGATGCTGTTGAAGATCTGATTCCATTGCTTCCTTATTCTTCAATTCTCATCCAAAGACTGGAACTTTGAAGAAAGTAATAAAGAATCCTCTTTTCTATTTATCTTTTGGGTTCTTCTTTTCACTCTACTCTGACCAGATCAAATCAAAACCTCTACAAAAGGAGGATTGGAACAAAAGCTTGAGACTCTGTCTTCTCCCCTGCCAGAATTCCCAGAACAAAAAAGAACCCAACTTTAGTGACTAAGCAATCAAAGATTCAACCCAAGTATTTTAGCTCCAAAGCCGAATCCATGTAAACTTTACTTGGATGAAAATTTATTCTGCTATAAACGCAGCTGCTGAAACTGAGGAAACTGAGGAAAACAGACACTATAAAGTTCTATTCACTCCAAATTTTCCTCACAAATCCCCACAACTTTCCAATCTACTAACTACCCAATTTTCTATTATGCAATATCAATCACCCAAGTCAAGAAGATAACATAGAAATCAAAACAGCCCACTGAAATCCAAAACAATAAAAGATGATAAAGAAAACGGCAAGAACAGAACCATAACAAAAACAAACCTTTATACTCTCTCTCTCTCTCTCTTCTAATACTTTCTAGCAAATCTCTATCTTTCTCTCTCTAGAGATTTGCTTCTGTTCTCTACAGGTGCTGCTGTTGCTGGTTAGTATGGGGTAGTGGGAGTGGTGATGTTCTCGTTGATGCCAGTCAGTGAAGAGAGATAATAAAGTGAAAACAATAATAAAAACCATTTTCCAAACCAAAATAATAAAAACCATTTTCTTTTCCTCTTCTATTAGTTCAGCCAATCAGAAGTAACAGAGGCCAGAAGTCACTCTCTATCTCTCTCTCTCTCTCAGACTTTGGCATGTTTATATTTTTCTATAACCATTAATGCCCCTGAAGACTAGTCATTTTTACAGAAGAACCCCCATACTAAAAGAGAGAAATGGCTGCATTGCATACACATTGATTCCAGCAGAACCATGTCCTAATATTATTAAAGCAAGAGAAATGGTTGGATTGTGTTAGCCAACACAGAACTGGGGCTGGGGTTTATGTGACAGAAAAGAACATAATCTAATCCCATTTTTAGCGGTAAAGCTATTTTGGTGCGCAGGGGTGACCACCACAAGGTCATGGCTTTGGACCACTATTACTGTGGGTGCTGTTTTAGACAGAGACAGCTTAGTTTTGGGCAAATGAAACTTGGTTTTTTTTTTCCTTTCTTTCTTTCCGTTTTAATGAAACTTAGTTTCGCGGGTCATGCTTCATGCCGACATCCTATGGTAAAGCAAAATTATTGTGAATATATACCGACTAACTCTTAATTTAATGGTATTATAAATGACACGTTTAGTGTGAATAAAAATGTGATTTTGGTTTAGGGTTTAGTCGGTGTGTCGTTGTGTCATTTTGTGTTTAGCTAGTATCACACTATGGCTCTCTTCGGGTTGCCCAAGAGGATGTGGAAGGATGATCTTGCTTCTTAGTTTGTTTTAGTGTAATAGTTCCTATGAACTTTTTAGGAGTTTGATGTAGTTTGTTTCTATTTATGATATTTTATTTTCTTTTGACGTTTAACTTTCAATACAAATTTGTCATTTCTATCGTTGCACAACGAACTTTATTACAAGTTTGGGACTTGCAAGTAAGTCTTAAGATAAATTTGAACACCTACAATCATCCATAAATCACACGTAAAGTCAAACTCCCCATTTGTTTGCCTGAATGATACGAGTCAATTGTTACAAGTCCTTCATTCTCTCTCATCTGTACGAAGTCGTGAAAGCAATTCTGGAATTTAATCGAAAGCAAGATGTGAATAATATTTAATTAGGTCCTCCACATTCACAGAAAACCAGAAAATTTAATAAACAATCCTCCATCACTTGGGGAGAAACTGAACAAATAAAATAATTCATGACGTGCTAGCTGCTGCAGCCTGCGGATGCTGTGCCTGTGGGAATTATATTTTAGGTTATCAAAACGAAGGATTACTTTCTTTAATTCTGTGCTAAAAGAAAGGAAGAGTCTCTTTTTGTGCTTAAAGAAAGAGTCTCTCTTATAGAAAGATATTGGCCCCAACCCAAACCCCTCTACTAAAAGACAAAAATATCACGTTTAATTCAAGATTAATATGTATTATTAAGTTTGAATTTGTCTTATTTAAGCCATTCATTGAGGTTTAGCAGAGATCCCCCTGGCCATTGCTCTTCTTTTTTCCTTTCATCTCATTTTTGTGGGGTGGTTGTTGCAATTGGGGTTCATCAATAATTTGTCTCATCGTACCAATTATCTAATGCAAACTATTTTGGGTTCACTCTAGATCGTTAATTGGGGATCATTTGCAAGTTATTCTAGATAAGTCAATAATCATTTTTATGAAAAATTACTTTCCATATAATCACTTAATTTGGAAATGATTATAGATAGGTCAAAAAGTACTTTTATGAAGAATCACTTCTTCATATAATTACTTTAAGTGATTTTATGAAGAAACATCTCGCATGTGCTTAATGTATAGGAATTCAAAAGTGGTTTTCACCAAATTTGTTGTAGTGGTTGAAAAAGCCACATGAGTTTAGCTAGTTAAAACGTGCTTAGAGCTTATTGCTTAAAAGGAAAGTATTTGGGTAATTATAATTGATTAAGCTCTAATGATCACCGGCATCGATTCAACCGAGGTGATTTAGTTCTTATATTAATGTTTGGTTTAAGTTTTGTTTTTAAAAAGATAATTGAGCACTTTCACTTACAGTGCTTATGCACGTGTAATTGTATTAGATTACGGCTTGATTTGACCGTAAAAAAGGCAATGCCAGCTTATCGGCGCTTAATTTAGTATACTTTGAAACCTATTAGAATCTCCAAATGTGACTGGAGCCGTAATTAACTTAGCTCCAGATCTTAATTTGATTAAATAAATCACAAAGTGACAAAGAGGGTTGAGTGGATAGTAAGGAGTGGTGCATTAGATTAGATTATTAGATAATGTTGTATAATTCAATAGAAAATTGTCTAAATGATGTAAACATTTCTATTACGTGTCATGCCATAGAATGGCATGTGATGAATGTAGGACCCACCGTAAGAAATTAAGAATAAGAGTCTTCACTCTCAAATTCAAATATGTTCTAATAATTTCATTTTCATACCTTTTCTTCTTAGAATTCGGTCACTTACTTACTAGCTATCAGTTATTTGGTAAATTTAAAGTAATTATAATGTGGTATTAGAGTACAGTTACGTGGTATAATTTATTTATTTATTATAATATAAGTGGATATCTATTAAAATTACATATGAAAATATCAATATATCGTCATTCACTTATATTATAACATATAAATAATTTATAGTATACCATGTGTTCATATAACTACAAATTTCTCGTAAAATGGAGTTCACATAAAATTTTTGATAAAATGAAGGCTACCAAAATACCCTAGTCAATCATTTTTTTTATTCTTGTGTGCAAGCTATCAAACAGAAAATACTAAATTCCTAAGTAACTCCAACACGCATTAAGATCACCAAGGAAATGACTAGTTGATATAACCTTAATAAGTTATTTTGAATTTTCCTCGGCCTAAAAATAATATATATATTTTTTATAAATAAAAACTTTAGGAGGAGATTGGCTACTCTGACCACCAGCGTCAAGGCAGACTCACAATTTCGAGCTGGAAGGAATTACACGTGACACCTAACTGCCAACTATCTTCAATATGGATTTATGTAGGAAATTACAAATTGGGCTAGTATAATTTTCGAAACCTAAATAAATATGAAAATTGAGTGATCAAATTTAATCATTTTTCATCTCGTACTGTTACTTGAGGTAGACCTAAGAAAAGGCAAAAAGAAAACTTATTTAGGCTTGAGAGAGAAAAAAACAATAATTTCTTAGTCATAGTCCCCACGCATTTGTTTTCAACGGCTCATTTATAAAAATGGAAATGCGATGGCGTCCACACATTTGCCAATTTAAAAAATTGGAAGGCAAGTTAACTGTGTCCACACATTTGTAAAAGAAGACATTTATAAGGACTTCGGTAGATAGTTGATCCATTTCAAACTGTCCCTCTTTTGATTTCGATTGAAATGAATGTGTATAGTAAATTAGGTGTTTTTTTCATTGATAAAAGCCGAAAGGCTCGATTTCAATACAAAATTAGGGTTTAGTTATGGGAAATAGTTGAAAGAAAGAGGAAGGAAAAACATTGAAATGATTTTTCATTAACTTAATGATTTTGACTTATGTAGGGATTAAAAAATCTATAAAGTTTAAATAGCTAATGATATGCTGGCACGATTTGGTCAGCAGATTCTTGCTGAATAGTATACATCACGAGCTCCATGATTCTGGGGAAGAGGTAGCTGGAAATGAGGTGGGGAAAGAAAAAAAAAACCTGTTTGGTAGCGAAACTGAATCAACTTTTGTCACCTAACGGAAGAGGGCATTCAGTTTGTTAATACCAAAAGCAGAAAGATTTATAATTTGCAGAGTGAAAACTTTGTTCAACATGAATTAAATTAAATCCATTTGTTTCTGTTAGTCATCAACGAATGCATTATGCATGGACGATTTTTAATCGTCACATGCGTAAATACGAAAAGCTTAGTACATACCTACGCAACCTCGAGAGGCTAGTTATACGTATATGCTTAGAGGAAGAAGGGTTTGTCTGACATTTTCAAATTATTTTTGATGTCTCTTGGAATTTGGTTGTGGGTTTTGGAGATATGGGAAGTGAGGGTAAGGATGAAAGTCATCACATGCGTAAATACGAAAAGCTTAGTACATACCTACGCAACCTCGAGAGGCTACTTATACGTATATGCTTAGAGGAAGAAGGGTTTGTCTGACATTTTCAAATTATTTTTGGAGCTGATGACAATGGATTTGGGTGTGAGTGATGTGGAGAGCAGAATCGAACAGTCAAATCTCATCTAGTGGAGCCATTCATGAATTCTTATCATCATAAGAGTATTGGAATCTAAATGCAAGGAATATATTCTCTCCCAAAAATGAGCAAACCAACAAACCACATATACTTTCTTCTCTTCAATTGGTTGTTCCAATTTATTTCAAGATACACACAAATGTAGCATTATAACTTTTTTTGTTTCTTTCTTCTCAGTAATTTATAATCATCCCTTTTGGAGCAAAAGGAGGAAGGGGCTATGGCTTTTTCTTTGTTTTGAAGATGGGTATGGATATATATATATAGGGGATCAAAAGGCGTGCCCTATCTGTCTACATTTATGGGCATCCTCTGAGCTATTGGGCTTCTTCCATTCATAACACTACGACCACGTTTGCCTTACTTTGTTCAACATTTCAGAGTCGTTCTATGGTGAGAGTGCAATATACGGACTACAGAAGGGGAACTTCATATTAGCCACATGATTCATCTGAATAGTAACTTCACTTAAGTTTAACGAAATAATCTTAAGGTCCAAATGAGGGATTCATATATGACGCCCTCGTTATGGAATTTCGCCAACTTTTTAATCAAACTTCACAATGACAACAAAGAAGGGCCTCTCTAAGCAGCCCATCTTAATTTTTTTTTCATTGCAAAACTACGCTTCTTGTTATTATATGATTGTGACTTAATGATTTCATAGTGAAGGAAATGATTTCAACGGTTCATCTTCCTCCAAGTGTTAAAGTTAGGTTTGGGCTTAGTTCAGTTGACTTAAAATAGTGTTTTAGAAACTAATTTCAGAGGATTTATTCGGCCCAATAAGTTATCTTGGGCCACATCAAATGGAGGCTTATGATCTGACAGAGCATCTTGCTTGCCGAGCTCAAATGGAGGCTAATGATCTCAACGATTAAAAAAGAAAAAGAAAAAACCAAATAAAAAGACACGACAGAACATTAATGCATGCGTGCCTTAAGGTGAGGGCCAAAGAAAAGAGAAAATACTTAATTAATCTAATGAAGCAGGTAATTAAGGGTCCTAATTAGGGGCATGTCTTACGCATAAATCACATGCAAATTTCCAA